CTTCGATTACGCTTGATAATAACTCGAATGTCGATGGAATTAGATTGAAGAAAAAAGAGATTGAGTAGGTACATTAAACAATAAGGCAGGCGCGATAATCGGTAGATCGACCGTAAAAAATAACCAACGCAATTGGCAGTCGTCATGACGGTAAAATATTATAATAGGACAGCAATTATTGGTACGCTGATCCTAAAATAAAAATTTAGTTTTATGGACTCTAATGTTCCATATCTAAGCAAAATATAGGTATATACTGCTCGGCTCTGAAATCTGCAGAATGACCGCTAACCGAGGGCATCAGCAGACGTTATTTTAAATGTATGGGGTGGGGAGAGGGGTAACGTTTTTTCCATAATACCCCCACATTATTGTAATATCATTGTATTGAGCTCGACTTTTTAAATATTACGACGGTTCTCTTAGAAACCATAATCCTGCATATTCCTAACGGAAAATAATATGGAAATAATTTTAAATTCATATTTCACTCAACTCGTTTATTGCGTCAACTGCACGCGTTAACGTTATATAATATATAATATGCAGTTTTCGCCACCTGTGTATGATTTTTCCTGAATTTTTCAAGTTTACCTACCTACTTAAAAATAATCAAATTAATTGAACATAAGGACGATTTGCGGGATACTATAGAATATACGTATATTATTATTGCTGTTGTTGTTGTATACACTGTTGTCGGGAGTCCTAATGATATTATACTATATTATGATATAATAATATCATTACAACCGCGCATTGACCTGAAACGCTAAACAGTGAATTATTCCGAAAGGGTGGAAATTGCAGCCCTCGATTGCCGACGCGCACCCCCTCACGCCCATTGATATAATATATATATTTTGATCCTATATCCGTGTGTGTGTGCGTGTGTGTGTGTGTGTGTGTGTGTGTGTGTGTTTGTGTGTGTTATACTTACGGATCGTAAACTACATTTACGAGGCACAGTCGTCATCCAATTATGTCGTACACAGGTACATTGCCTATATACCTACAATAATATCGTCGAGTTGTGCACACAACCACTCGCTCGGAATATTGTCGTCGTCGTATAATGGTCGTCTAGTGCAGCAGTGGTCTTCAACCAGCTATTATTATTGGACTCGCGACGTCCCATTTTAGTCATTATTATATTCTATTTTGCTAATGCATTTCTATTTTCTGCGTTACCGGATACCACACCTATCGCGGCTTTTTTCGAGGAGGTTTATTTTTTTTGTATTTTTTTTTTGCATTTCAAAAACGATAGTGCAATCTGCAGAACTCGACGATCGTGAGGCCTTGCGTATAGCTTAACACTCACTTATTCGAGTTAGAAGTGTCGTCGTAAGACATGATAATCTGTTCCAACAAAACGTATTGTATTAGGTATTATATTTTATAAATCGCAGCTGACGAAGCAGGTACTCGATTTAAAAAAAAAAAAAAAACGTTTTGTACGAGTTCGCGACTCGCTGCACTATTGTGGTATAACCTTTTCCGCTGTTGATGAGTTTGGGTCGTATATTATTATAACAATATATATTATACAATACATGGTAATATTATAGAGTGGTACGCGCGGTTAAAAGTTTGTGGGTAACGAGGTGTTTTTTCTTCGGCCTCGATCGAAATCGCCGTTTGCTCGCCTTTGTCGTCGACGTCGTTATAATAATATGTATATATATATATACCAGTTGTACCATGACCATTGTTGTATTACGCTATTTAGAGATGTATAGACGAGCGGAAAAACACCGGGCGCAGTGTCTGCAGCTCCTCGCCATAATATGGGGACGACAATTTTTTTCCCTCCTTTAAACGGCCACCGAACACTGTCGGAATTCGTCGTCATTATTATATATATTATTATTTTTTTTTATCGGAGAAATATATTATCTTCTGTACAATCCGATCGTTAATTCCCGCCCGTAATTATAATTATCTATAGGTACGCGAGAGAAATCGTCTCCGGACGTGCCTCCTATATACATAAGCGCCTCTCCACAACATAGATGGTAATAATATTATGACGTGCATGTGCGCACCACAGTAATGATTTAATGTTTGACAATATTATTAAACGGTAATAATAACGTGTCGTCGAGATGAGTGACAATAGTAATAATAATTGTGTATTATTGTCGTCGGAGTGCGACTCCCCCATTATGGGTATAAAAAAATACCCACATAATTTATCCGGAGGTAGGTATAAATTATTGTTTGTGCGTCGACTGAATAATATTATGCAACAAAGGCGTTTGCGATCGAATTCAAAACCCAACGCGAGCACGTTTATCATCATCATCCGACGACGACGACGACGAAGACGACGATATAATAATAATAATATATTATAATAGTAAAAAAATATATATATATATAGGCACAAACGTCCGTTTATATCGACGCGATAACAGAAACGGCTTCCAGCGATTTTCTTCCTACTTTTTCTTCTACTTATTATTATTTATTAATTTTTTTTTTTCGTTTCCTTTTGACGGGACATATAGCTTCATTGGTATAGTGACTGACTGTATATATAGCTTCTATGCGTATATATATACATAGTATAAAATATATTGTATACACACACTGCACAGGGCGTAGCCCGACCGTAATTTCCAGCTCGCTCCGTCGGCGATATTATTAGTATATAAGTCGACACAAAAACCAATAATAATAATAATTATTGTAAAATCGGAAGCAATAATATTGTAACGATTTCGATCATATTATAGTTTTTTACTACAACAAACAAACAAAAAACCAACCTTCGCCTCTCTGTACAGCCGATGACTATATAGCTGCTGTTGCGTAGTAGTCATCGCGTGCTCGTCGTCCTATAATACAATGTCGTACAATGGTTAGTACACTTCGCCACCGACTCACTGCAATATTATTAAAAGATGTTATTATTTATTATTATATTATTATAATAACAATCGTAACGATTTCGTTCGCGTGCCATTGCCTCCCCCCCCATGAGTACAACTCAGATGCTACTCTACTACTTAAATCTCATCTCGCATCCGATCGAACGAATTGGAGCTAATCCGTCTAGTATGGAAAATTAATTAATGACTTGCGAATTGTATATACCATTCAATCGATAGTAATTGATTGTATAGATCAACTAAAAGGAAAAAAAATGTAATATATAAATGTGTTTAATTTGCAATTTAACTTACATCAAGTTTAAACATATACAAGGTGATTCGTCCAGCATCACCCTGGCTCAACCTGATTTTTCAGCAGGTCGTCTTTTTTATACACTTTTCTTAAGTTCGGTTTCACGTCCGTCTGTGATCAAATCTTGCGCGCTCGATTTGAGGCACATTTTGAAGATGAAAAATTCTGAAAATTGGTATTGACCTTGGTTTTTGATGACAATACAATAATCCGTAAAAAAAAAAATTTTTAACTAAAAAGTAGAAAATTAAAAATTAAAAAATTTTTTTTTAAAAACACACTTTTCTAAAAAAACAAAAAAATAATGAAAAATTTAAAAGTGTGTGGCGCTCTTACACTTGACATATTATACCACACACTTTTAAATTTTTCATTATTTTTTTGTTTTTTTAGAAAAGTGTGTTATTATAATATAAAATGAAATAGGTAATAAAATTCACACTATGGATTAAAAACCGTTCACGTATAACACAAAATAATCATATATAGGTAATAATAGAAAAGCATCTAATTTAGCTGTAGTCACAGTATTTTTAATTGTAAATAATAATTACATAATATGTGATTGCTATATATATTCAGTTTAAATTACAAAATGGAAATAGTTAAAATTTTAAAGTTATTTCAACAGCATAAATGCATAGTTATATTCTACATTATAATTCATAACTATAATAATTAATTCATGTCGCAATAAGCTGATTTAGTTTGTAACTTTTTAGTGTTTACTTAACGCATACATTTTAGATAAATCTCTATACGTTTGATCGACGTCTGCGCCAGCCTTATTCGTATTGCCATAGGTATTATTGTTGTGCCAGAACTCTGGCAATATCCAAAATATGAAACTTAAAGTTTCTGTTTAAAATTTACATATAGTATAATATTTCCAAAACGAATATAACGAATAATATATTTAGAGCTCTTAAGGGCACGATAATGTTATACTTTGATGTTTTCTGCGCATCATAATTATATATTTGCATAATATACATTGTGTTTAAAGTGTTAATAAAGGTTGCGTTAATAAACTGACCCCTATAATAATAATGATCTAAGAAAACGATGTACAAAATATATACTATATAATAGTAATTTGATGTAATTTGATTAATAAAATGTATAATGTAATGAAACGTAATGTAAATTCAACCTATTCCCAATGTATATAAACAGTAAAGCCGGCTATCCAAGGTGTAACAGAAATACTTGACCAAAAAAAAAAATGATGCTACTTAAACGTATGACGAAAATAGTTAAAATTATATGATTAGTAAATAATTTAAGAAATATTCTCGTGTCAGCAAATTCCCAAAAAAAAATATTTAAAAACAAGTTATTACGTTCCCAATTTATTTAATCAAAAATCGAAAATTGATATTTTAAAAAATTCTAAAAAATAAACTACTTGACTTGGATACATGTTTTTACTATTAAAATTGTTATTATAATCAGATTCAAAAATTAGCTATTTTGAATATATATCCAAAAAAATTTAAATTTTATACTTAAAATTTTCAGTGTTAAAAAATAAAAATAATTTTTGTAAATAAATGTGTAGCGCAAGTGACTATCAATTATATATATAGAAAAAAAACATTAAAATATTGATTAGAACAAAAGTTATTCCAAAAGTCAGTTCTATCTGTTACTCCCTGTATAGGATCTCCCTGACCACACGAGGCCTCGGAAAATCAATGAAAAATCAATAAATAATCAAAATAATAATAATACTATTACCATTACGTTGATATAATATTATTGTAATGATATTAATATTGTCACACCGTGTTCGCAGATGAACGAGTATGACGAGACGACTGGAGATTATTGTCATGTGCGCGGCCCTACTGGTGGCCGCCGCCGGTCTTGCCTCGTCAACCGAACAATCCTTCGCCGTCGAACCAGACGATCGGAGTGCGGTGGTGGACTCGACGGTCTCGCTGCCGTGTAAGGTCAACGATCTGGCCGGAAAGCTCCAATGGACCAAGGACGATTTCGCGCTGGGTACCAACAGGAACCTGTCGTACCACGGTTACCCTAGATACGCGATGACCGGCAGCGACGCGATCGGTAATATTATAATGATAATAATTGCATTGTATATACCTATTATAATATAGCATAATAATAATTATTGCACCCGAACGACGCACATTACTGTTTTGTATTTAGTTACTGTATTGTATTAGTTACTGTATCGCACCGTATTATCGTACGACGCGATTTTATCATATTAAAAAAAAAAAAAAACTTTCGACAGAAATTTACCATCCAAAGCTCACCCACATACACATACGCGAAAATAGAGCGACCACCCACAGAGTGACCGCACTCATCGTAGATTTCATATTATAACAATCGTAGGGCTGGGATTTATATTGCCTATATGCAACGCCCGCCATAAGACAGTAAAATATTATATTTAATTTTTTGGACAATACCTGCAGGTAAAAAGTTATTAAATACTGTAATAAAATACTCAGTTAACTTACCGTTAGTATAAATAATCTACCATTGAGTAAAATATAAGAACGGTTATAAATTTAAAATAAATTCAATAAAGTTAGGTGTTTTTAGCTTGGTATCTACTTTCAATATTATATTATAGGCTGAATCAAAAACATTCATAACACATAATAGCACTTTTCGAGTTAACAATTAAAAATTAAAAATTACACTGACATATGCTAAACAAAAAATAGATCATATTTTGTATCGATATTATTTGGAAATGATTGGACTCAAGGGACTGGAACCGAACTTAAAAAAATTTTAACAGTTATTTTATTTTTGGGGAACCAGTACCGGAACTTATACCGATAAATTCAAAAGATTCCAGTCCCTAATATCCCTACTCGTTGCGAAATTTTCCCAAACAATCCCCTCGATGTTATGTTTAGTTTCACCTCTGTACATAGAATTATATTTTAAAGCGTGTATAATATACAGAGTGATTTTTGATACACATAATAATCTAGCTGACGTTGTTTATATTAGGATATACAGTGTATGGGTGTAAACCACGGTGTGAGTATTATACGTTCTGCTGTAAGATGTCGTCATGATATTATTATGTATACCTACGTGGTCTTAGATTTTAATGAAACTGCAGGTCCCTGGGTGAAAATAGCTCAAATTTATCGAAGTCTCCCGTGTACATTATATAGGCGGAAAACGACTCGTGGGAGGGGGTGGTCGGAGGGAGGGTGGCACTATGCTGTCCATTATAATCAAAATAAATAAAAGCTGATTGTATAATATCTTATACTATGTACATAATATTTTGGGCCAAAAATTACGTTATTTTTTGGACATTTTATTTAGTTCTCGATATTATTATATAATACTATCCAGATTTTATTATAGCTCCATGTATATTATGTATAAAAGAGATAAAGATGAAAAAGAGTTTATTTTCTAAATTTTCTAAACAAATTATTTAAACATACACTAGGTACAACTTGCTCGATGAGGACTTGATTTGTGGGTGGGAACTACTGGGAAGTCCCCTCTTCTCCCCCATTCCCCTATATTTGCTTCCATGAGGGTCATTTTGAGGACGTATAATACCTGTACCGCGATATTCGTGCTTGACTTTATTGTTCAAAGAGTAATGATTTTACTCTCGAGAATTTTGTTGGTGATAAAATCCAAATCACTCTATATATGATATTACATATTGTAAAAAACGTTTTTTTATTTTCAAACAATATTATATATATATAATATTAAGTTGAGACTTTGCGAGTAGCCGTCCCTCTTTGTCTTGTGACAATTCATTATCATACTATATATATATATGTATATAATGTGTATATCGGATCGTTTTCTCGAGGCAGTGAGACTTAACTTAGCAGATTTCTTATCTTAAATATTATGTACTTGATTCGCTGTAAGTACCTGCAGCAATCGACTTTTTAAACCTTATGCCCTCGTTCGTTCGTTGACATAACAATATTATATTATATTACAAAAAAAGCTGCTAAAAATGTTTTAATTATTATAACGTGAAGTAGGTACCAAGCACACACCCGATACACCTGGCTGAATATTAATCATCTCACTAATTGAGTAACTGCAGAACCGAACAAACGCATTTTGAGATTGAAAATGTCTCGTCATCCCTCCGCATTATACCTCTGATATTAGAAAGCGCATTTATATAATATATATATATACTATACAGCCTTATACATATTATTATCGTTCGATTGAAATTCTTAAACGCATATTCTGCGGCCACGTTTGATGCAAATTTAATGGCAAACCGCCACGGCACGAGTGGTTATTGGTTATCCGAAATGCCTATAATTTACGTAATTATTTCGACGAACGTGACTCTAAAATATTACAATACATTTATGCACTTCGAATAACGTACGGAAAGGCTACACGCCGACTGAATATAATGACATGCAATTCGACGTTATAGGCGGGCGAGGCTTATAGGAGACTCGTCGAAGAAAACTTAAACTTCCGCCAAGTATGTAGCAGTATACTTGTCTATGACGGTAGAGTACCTATGTATAGGTCCTTCATCGCCATAAGTATTTACGGTCGGCGACAATTTTTTTAATACAAACAACGAACGGGGTTTCAGTAGAATTTTGTCAGTGTTTTCAGGCCATTCTCCCCCGTATTGTTAAAGTCGACGAGACGTCTTCCAGACGGTTTTTATCAACCGCTTCCCAGTTTAGATTTTGGAATTTTCAAATGTGCCCACTTAAAGTCCATATTTTCAAATAGTTTTGTTTTACTGTTTATAGGGCGAGTGTCCTGTCGGTTATAACATCTTATTTTTTATCAAACGCCAAATACTCGTTTTTACGTGTAAACGGTCGAGGATTTTTTGAAAATGTTGATGCACCTTCATTGGAACTCGAACTCGTGGTTTTTCAATTATTTAAATTCGCGTACTAAGGATAATACGTTTAGAGGATGTGAGAGTAGGTTACAGGTACTGATTTAAAGTATAAAAAATATAATTATTTTGAATAAAATTCTTAATCGCGAGCATAATTATATACTACTTAAGAATTACTCCAAAAATCCGAATTTGAATAAAAACCTGATTACTCGGTGAATCGTTCTAGGTCACCGTGATAACGATTTAGAAAAACTTTGCCCCGCCGAGCCATTATATGATATAATTTCGATCATTGCGCATAATAATATGTCGAACAATAGGTATACTTTAACGTCGATACAATGTAATATTATTATTTATCGTTATTATTATTATTATGTAGTCGTAATGCGGTGATCTTCTATAGTGTTATATTTAGTATAACATGCACACAGTACAGAGTTTAAATTATTATTATTATTATTATTATTGCACACCGAACCGGACTGTGACGCTATCGCTTTTATACGGATTTCGACTGTACATACTATTACGAACTTATATCGTTGGCACAGACAATCCTAAATAAATGCGATCGTTAATACCTCATCACAATAATATGATTATCACGGTACACGCTGCAGAATCGTCGGCACCCGTCCACACACGAAATGCATGCTCCCCCCCCCCCCCGGTTTTGCGATGCACGACTTGTGTAACGTTTTAATTGCATATTTCCATTAGGCGAATATATTTTGATATCATCATCATTGCCTAGTGCATGATATTATAAGTAGGCACTCGCGCAAAGTGCGATTGCAAACTGCACTTCTGTAGTGCAGTGTTGAATAATGCATTTTGGCGTTCGCGAGCCACGGCGGCAGCAGCGATATTCGTCCGATGCGAAACGTTTTATCATAATATCGTATCGTATTATATACGTTTTTCGTGTTGTGTTTTCATTAAAATAATAAAATAGAATACCGGTGCGGCGTTGTTTGCCGAAACTCACTCGATTCGTCTATGGTACCTATTTGTTCATGATGATGACATTTATAATATTACACATGCGCACATCACACGACCTTATGTACCTAGGTATACAATTTGAGTAGAGCCGTAGTGGTAGTCGTAGTACATATGCACCATCAGATAACATTGTCGTGATATTTTAGTAGCATATTATAGTTTCACACGGTTTAGTAGTGTATTCAATTATATTATATAGTAATGTCGCTTCGTGGATATTAATGATATTTCAATCGAAATTTGTTTTTTATTTACAATATATTTATGTATAGGTATATAATAAACGCTGTTATAATGCATAAACTAATATGTGGTGTCCCATAAAGTGCGCGACTTTTAAATCTGCCGCCATTTTTTTTTTTAAATTTGGTTGGCATCCCCCTGTTCTTATCATATTTTCTAGTATCTACTATTACTCCGATTTACTTAGTAGTTGTTGCTAAGAAATTATAAGAGCAGAGCTGCCAACAAAATGTTTAAAAAATGGCGGCAGATTTAAATGTTGCTCACTTTATGTGACACCCTTTATTATAATAATATATTATATTATTATAATTTCACGTTGAATCTATTTCATATTTAATAATAAATAGTGTATATCCAAAGGTGGGCGAGCTAATACTATAATGTCATAAATTGTATGTTAAACATGGTTTTAACTGAACTATGAAGTATTATTTTTCAAATTAACTTACTAGACAAATCTAAGTTCTTACAACGGATTTTTTTTTAACAAGTCTAGTCGAATGTAATTGGAAAATTGACTAACTGTACAAGTTAAAAAGTTTACATAAAAATAACTTTTAAACTAGTTATGCCCCCACCTTTGTATACAATATTATTATAACAAATATAGGTGCCTACGCTATGATTGGAGAGCCTGCAAACTGCAAAGACATCATTAATGAAATGTATAAACTCTTAAACTACCTATATATTATTATTATATTATTAGATATTATACAGGCAAGAAGTTTTCATATTATAATACGATTTTATTTTTAAATTATTGTCAGGAAATATTATTATTATTATTATTATTATAAATGTATGCTAGTTTCAGTAGGTAAGAAATCGAACCGTATAAATGTATAAATTAATGAAGATAACACATCGAACTTATACTCTAATAGAAAAAAATCTACAAACAAATAATGTTTTTATACTTTTATTTGTTAATATCCTAAAGAATATT